CTTTGGGTCTCCACTCCACGCTCCCCATCATTCACATTGATATGATTGTTCTGTATCTTTGATGCCTGATACCTGATTCTATTGACACCTCATGATCACACAGGCTGGTGTGCTTCTTCCATTTGGACTTTGTTGCTTTCCACTAGATGGCTGCTTGTTTATCTTCAAGCCTTTAAGACCTCAGATGCTATATCTTTTCATAGCTGGGCACCATCAGTTTTCTTCACCATTTTTGCTTATGCACCATTTTGTCTTCAGTGATCATGTCAGGAAGCTGAGCATCACAGAATGCCAGGTTATTAGAACAAAGTATTCTTGCATTGAGGGAGTACTTGCATAGAGGCCCAATATTCATCTGCTACCTTAATATTTAACATATAAGTAAATGTACATAGATCTATTTCCCTATCCTTATATATAAATATATTTACATATGTACATACCTGCATTTAGACCTCTATAAATGTCCCTTGCCTCCTAGTTCTTTCCTCTGCTTCTTTTTTGCTTTCTTCTTGTCCCACTATCATGTTCGACCTTCATTCAGGCTTTAGTAATCCCTCTTGGTTACCCTGCTCTTGATCAAGCCCTACTAGGCATCCTCCAACAGTGCAAGAATTGTCCCTGATCTGAAGGCACCACACATTTAGATGTCAGTTACAACAGCAGCCCACTCTCTATACCAAATTCTTCCTTAGTTATCTAGTGCTGCTATATCAAAAGTACTAGAAATGGATGGCCTTAACAAACTGAAATTTATCTTCTCACAGTTTAGGAGCTAGAAGTCTGACTTCATAGCATTGTTCCAGGGTAAATTTTTCTCTTTGTCGGTTGTAGAGGAAGATCCTTGTCTTATAAATATCTGTCCTGGGCAGGTTCCTTGTGGCTTTGCATTCTCTCTTCCTCCATCTCTGCTTGCTAGCTTGTTTAATTTCCTTTATATCTTAAAATAGATATTGACATAAGTTTCACCCTATATTATTCCTGTCTCATAACAAAGACAATTCATTCCCAAATGGGATTATAAACATAGAGATTAAAATTTATAACATGTATTTTGGGGACACAGTTCAATCTATAACATGATATGGGATTTGTTGTTGAGGTTTACTAATATGTTTGAGAGGATGTGGGTGGGGAAAAATGGTTTACGTGGAATCATATCTAGAGTTCAGATAATAGAGTTCCTTAGGAGATAATGGAGTTCCTTCGGAGTTAACTTCTTTCTGTGTTTACTCTAGTGGTCCCCAAAACATGCTACAGGAATCAGTATAGCTGGAGCGGTAAATACTTGGGCCCTAGTACAGACCAACTGAATCAGAAGCTCAGGATAAGACAGGGAGCTGCTGAACAAGCCCTCCACATGATTCTGATGTCAGTTCAAGTTTGAGAACCTCCACGCAGCTCTCGTCTTCCTATTGCCCACAATTCTGAAGATGATGAATGTGTTTCACCACCCTGGGCTGGTATTCACATAACTGACTCCCAAGAGCAAGGTGAAGCTAAAGTTCCCTACAAAATTTGCATAATTGTCTTGGCTATTAGTGTGCATCAGAAATGCAGCACGATAAAATTATAGAGTATGAATTAAGTAGGCTTAGTATGCAAGCCTGCAAAACCAACAATCATATATGTACACTGTTTCTAGGGGAAATTTTACTATTTATTTCTTCCTCCGAAATAAAGTTCTGCATGCCACTATTTCTGATTTCAAGAAGGCAGTCTTTTTCATGCCTTTGTAATGTTAAAGTGTTGTCATTAATCGTGTGTGTATGTTAAGTTTTCTAGTCAGGTTAGGGATTCAGAAGTAGCATGTTTTGAATCATATTCTCTCCCCTTTCGTGGCAAAGGACCCTGTACACAAAATAGTCAATTCTCAAAGGTACATAGCAAACACACTCACACACACACTTGAGAAAGGAGGTGCTTAACACTACAACCGTAGTCATTACTGTCGACACATCACACCTGTGTACACCTCAGCCTGACCTTTTCGTGCAGGAGAGGCACACCCCTATATGAGTTTGCTGCAGGGAGGAAGGCAGCAGTTGCCAGCTTTTCTACTTAAACTCACATAACTCCAAATAAGACTTCTTCTTGATGCATTTATTTGAGGTCAAGTGATGTAAAAGAGCACATTATGCTAAATGGAAGGCCAGGAAAGAGGGGGAGCAGGGAGGGAGGGGGGAAACAATGAGGAGCTGATGCCAGCGGCTTAAGTGGAGAGCAAATGTTTGGAGAATGATGAGGGCAATGAATGTTCAAATGCGCTTTACACAATTGATGTATGTATGGATTGTGATAAGAGTTGTATGCATCCCTAATAAAATGATTTTTTTTTAAAGAGGATGGCCAGGAAAGAAACAAACAAAAAAAGATTTTAATAAAAGCATTCAGAGGAGGGGAGGAAATTTCTGTGTTATTACAAACACAACCACCTGAACCATAAAATATCTCTGACTTTGGGAGTCCACAGCTCAAATTAGTTACCAACTACTAAGATATCCGTGCTCACCTTAACAAGGAGCCATGTTGGCACAGTGGTTAATGGGTAGGCTCCTCGTGAAAGGTCAGTGGTTAGAAGTCACTAGTTGCTCCACATGACAAAGATGTGGCAAGAAAGCAAACCCATGGACAGTGGGTTTGGCTTCTTCCGATTTTGTTCAACTCACCACAATGGCAATCCCTTAACAACACTGGTGTGGAAAACAAACAACCAAGAATAACTGAACCACTGATTCAGCCATCAGTGAAAGGAAACAAAGCTCTTGGTGGTCAGCATACCCACCATCCGAGGGGAGGTCCCATAAAATCTAAGATAGTGCGGCAAGTCTATAACTTTAACCTACCCTCGGGTCGGCCCAGAAGAAACATC